AAAAAAACATGCGCGGCGCTTATTTTGACCATTTTTGGGTGCTGCCTGTGGCATTTATTTGGCTCGCCGTGTATCCGACAGATACACATACCGTATCTGTATCTGTATCTGTGTCTCCGTATCTGTATCTGTATCTGTATCTGTATCTGTATCTGTATTTGTGTATCTGTGTATCTGTGTATCTGTGCATCTTTGTATGTGTGCATCTGTGTATCTGTGTATCTATGTATCTGTGTATCTGTATCTGTATCTGTATCTGTATCTGTATCTGTATCTGTATCTGTATCTGTATATCTGTGTATCTGTGTATCTCTGTATCAGTATCTGTATCTGTATCTGTATCTTTACCTGTATCTGTATCTTTATCTGTATCTATATCTGTATCTGTGTATCTGTATCTCTGTATCTCTGTATCTGTATCTGTATGCGAGTGTGCGGTGCTGAGATCACACAGGAAATTAGTTTAATATATGGCTACCGTTTTGCCCGAAACCAACAACAACAATAAAATAAAAAATAAAAACAATGCGAAACAACTGCAAACAGCAGCCGCAGCACGTTAATGGAAACAGAAAGAAAACAGAAAGAAATCGAAAAAAAACGTTTTTTTTTCACACTAAATAATATAAAAAATAAATTAAGAAACAAAGTAAAAATACAAAAAAAAAAAACCTAACTGGCGAGCAGCTATATCAAAAGACGTCAAAATTATGGATGCATGGACGCAATCGTAACTCTCTGGAAATAATTTGACCGCACGGCCCAATGTACTACAGTGAAAGCTCCACAGAACGGACAGCTTCTTGGACAAATGTGAAAAATGAGCAACAGAGAATTTTTTGTTGATTTTTTAACTTTTATCTGCATTTTTTTCCAGCTGAAACTCTAAGAATCCTTTAGCAGGAACAAACGAAAAAACTTTAAATTGCACTTAAAATAATTTCTAAATAACTTGAAGTAAGAATGAAAAGTCTTGAGGCATCCAATAAATATATATGTATAACCTATAGAGTTGGAGATGTCTCCAGTTTTTTCATGACAAAGTTATATATCGTATATACATACTTAAGTTTTAAGACTTTTCTGCTTGCTTCAAGCTATTTTGCGCTTGTTTTAAGTCGAATTTGCATAAAGCTTCGTTTCACTCTACTTCCTGTGTTTCTGCCAATTCCTTCTCTCCCAATTGATTCTTTTCTCTATAGAGAAAAGTTGAAAATATGTACGTATTCCATGTATCCAAAGTCGGATCGATATAGCCAACTACGTCTAAATATAACTTGAAGCTGCCGGATCGGACTTCTATATCATCATAGTTCCAAAGGAAGCATGGCGCGAAAAAATAGTTTTTATATGGAAACTTGGCTGTTCTTCAAGTTATGTTGATCAGACTCAGCTTTGACGTGATTCACGATCTTCCTATATATCCACAAGGATATTTAATCTTCAATCTGACAAAGATAACCTTACTTTCTTGTTTTTACTTACTTGAATTTCTAATTTACAAATGAATGAATTTTCTAAAAATTACATTACGATTTTTATAGATATTCTCTCGGTAGCTTGTGTTAAAAATTTCAACTTTGTGCAAAATAATCGCTCCTAAGATTTCTTCCCAGGAAAATTGTGTAAGAATTCTTAGATTTTAATGCGAAAAAAGTTTCAGCAACAAAAACATTTTCAGGAAAATTCAAATTAACATACAAATCTGAGATAACTTTTTCAGATGGAAATATGAAGACAAAAAAAAAAAATATTATTTATTCTATTCTCTTTATATTATTTTTTACACTTTCTTTCTATTCTTGTTCTTCGTTAAGTTAAAATTAATTTGAGTAAAAATGAATTTCCATGACTAAAATGTTATAATTTGTATAAAAAATGTGAGTAATTTGTATTGAATTCAAAACTGTTTTCCATTTCAAATTTTTGCACAAAAATATTAACATGAGAAATCTTTTATTTAATTTGAGTAAAATGTGTACCTTTTTTTAATTTCCAATTAAATTTATCTCGCCCGCCCGTTCGACTTATCGGCGCAAATTTTTGTTTTTTTGTGAACTCATTTTGAGTAGAAATTGAAATTTGTTTTCAACATTGCATATAATATTTATAATAATGAATCTATGATTGTGCTTGGAGGGCGTTCCGAGTACTCACCCCTGCTGAGATTGTTGTTGTTGTTGTTTGGGTTTGTTTTTGTTTTTGTTTTTGTTTTTGCTCTGAATGAAGCCCGTTAAGATGTCAACCGCAAATACCGACGTTCTTGCTGATTGTAATTATGATGATAATGCTCGATAATGATGTTGATAATGATGTCAGGTAAATGCTGCGGGCAACGCCGGGCGTTTTTGGGTCGTCGCCGTATTCTTCCAGGCACAAAAAAGGTAAACAAAAAAAAAACTTCCCAAAACAAAAAAAAAAACAACAACAAGAGAGTTAATATGTTTGCGCCCGCGATGACTAAGCGATTTTCAATATTGATTTAGTTTCTGTTTCCGTTCTTTTGCTCACTTCTTCTTCTTGTTGTTGTTGTTGTTGTTGTTTGTTGCGCATGCGCCACACGCGCTGATAAACAAACAAAAAAAAAACAAAAAAATTGTTATGAGAACGAAAATTGCACGAAATTAAATCAATTTCCGAAAAATCCATTAAAAATTAAAGCGATTGCGCGCGTTTTTTTTTCTTATTTCTTATTTATTTTTTGCCGATCTCTTATCGATGCCAATTTCAATTTCAATACAATGCGCGTCGATTCGAGCTTGTGCACACAGTTGCACGCGCACGCGCGCACACTCTCTCTCACACACACACACACGCACACGCTCACGCACACACACTCGGACACGCCGGCGCAGTCGCCGTTCGGACTCAAACTAAGTGAAAATTGCAAGCGGGCACTGGTTTTATTGAAAGGAAAGATTGGGGAGCCAGCCCAAAGCCACAGACACAGCCGGAGCCCAATGAGCCGAACCAGTGCCGGGCCGCACGAGCGCAACGAGCGAACCAGCAAAACGAACGAACGAACGAACGTGCGAGCGCGACACGAGTGATTCTTGCTGCGCTCTCACTGAATGGAGTTAGCGGCGTCAACGTCGGCGTCTTATTGCCGCGCCAGCTGCATGTGACCCCCAGCGAACACCCCACCAAAAAGGAAATGCGACTGCTGCTGCCGCTGCCGCTGTCGGCGTCGCTGCTGGCAGTGACCCTGTCGCTGCGCTGTGGCCCATTATCAGCATTGTCATCATGCGACTCTGTCTGCAGTTGTTGTTGTTGTTGTGCGTGGCGCTATCAGCAAGGCAACTGTTTGCAATATATGTAATTATAATCATATCATGCATATCTCATGTTCGTCGTTTTGTTTTTCTTCTTCTTCTGTTCTTTATGATGCGCAGAAATTGCTGCCTTATCTCGCTCCAGTTCCAGAAACTGCCGCACAGCGACGAGGCGGCGCCGCGTCGCAGTCAAGGACGACACCGTTAAATGCACAAAAGCGCCAGCGGCGCAAAAAGGGGAGTAAATTGTTGGAAATTATCACATTGTAAGCGCAAAAAAAAAAACTGCAGACGATCCGCGCTGCAGAAGATCATTAACAATGCGCCGTGGCGCGCAAAAATAGCCACGAGGAGAACAAATCACATTATTAGTCTACGTCTACGTCGGCGTCGGCGTCGCAGTCAGCGTTGACGTCGTTGCACGTTATTTTTAAAAATTTGTTATATGGCGCCCCGTTTGATTTTTAGGCGCCAAGCGGTGGCGGCAAATTGTGGCGACACGTCTGCTGCTGGAACAGCGGCAGCGGCAGCAGATACAAATGCGATAATGTGAGGAGGAACAACAGCAACAAACATACGAAATGCTGAGATACAAGATAAGAGCAATGCACGGAGAGGCGCGACGCGAAGCGACGCGACAGCCAGCAGACGCCAGCCAAAGACGCGACGCGCAGCATCGCCAACGCCGACGCTACCGACGTCGTCGTCGCCGTTACCGATGCCAACAGATATCAAGCACGTCTCAATCTCAAATCATTCAGGGCCGGTCTCTCGGCCCCGGCTTGGCCAGAAAGGTTTTTGCCGGTGATGCTTGCGCCGCCAACGCCGCTCAATTAACAATGAAAAGTCGGTCTGGTACGTCATAATATATTTTTATCTGATTACCAGGCAGCAGACGCCAGACTAGCCACAAATCGTGCGTTGGCACAAGCACACACACACACACACACGCGCGCGCGTGCGTGCACATGGCTACCTCCCAAGCATCATCCTTGCCATCTGTGTGTGTGTGTGTTTTTGTGTGTGATTTTTTTTTCGCGTGACTCTCAGATCTCTAATCATGAAATCTCACTTGTGGCGCCGCCTGGCGTCGCATCAGTGTGACGCCACACATGTGTGCGTGCGTGTGTGTGTGTGTGTGTGGCGCCAACATTGTTAAACGCCGCTCACATTTCGCAGCTGAATGAATGGTGCCACGATGTGTGGCCAGGTAGCATGGCCTATTGTCCATTGTTGTTGTTGTTTTTTTTTTTAATGCTGACGCATGCATTGCTGGCAGCACAGCGCAACGCAAACCTTATTTGAAATAACAATTTAAATTTCAAATTGAAAATCAAACGGGTTTTTCACGCGCCGCCGTTGACATGCGAATGGCAAAGGCCACGAAACAAGTAAACAAAACAAACTGTGAACAGCTGTTTGACAAGGGCTGCAAGAAATTTTATTTTGGTATTTTTAGTATTATTACTATTGGAACAGGTTAAAATCATAAATTATTAGAATTACTTTTAAATAAAGCTAGGTACCAGACGTTGGGCTAAGTAAAATATCGCTACTTGGAAATAAGCTAATTTTCACTTGAATATTATTGTAGTGCTGTGTTTTTTGTAAACCCTTGCTTGGCCCTCGCTCCTGTGGACTGTGAACAGCATACTAGATATTTGCCATTTGAATGCGCCGCGCATTAGTCAGCTGTCAAACGGAGAGCTGGCAACCCTGTCCGCTGTTACACTGCGACTGTCAAAAGCGATAAAAAAAAGTTGTCTGCTCGGCATTAAAATTAATTTGTAGCGCTGCTAAATATTTTCTAGCATATCGGTAAGTTTTATTTACGCCTGGCACTTGACGTATTATTATTTAACTGGTAAGCGCTTGGCTGCATAGGGCTGCCTCAAATCGATATATGGCCAAGAAAGTGCCCGCTCGGCCTGCTAGCAACTTATGTAATTGCCCGTAAATTGAATGTTGTTGCCAATTTGTTGTTTGTGTATTGATTTGTTGCAGAAAATATGATACGTGCACCGCTTGTGAAGGCGCTGGGCGCCCTCGGCTCACCCACACACCAAATCGCCAGCCGAGCGGTCCGCACCAGCGCGATCATGGCCCAAACGCCGGCCAAGGCGCCCGAGAAGATCGAAGTCTTTGTCGATGATATACCCGTTATGGTTCTGCCGGGCACCACAGTGCTCCAGGTGAGCACACTCGAGCACACGCTTTATAAGTAATATACAAAAGAACACGCCCCACTCTCTCTCCCTCTCTCTTCTCTAAACGCGCAGGCTGCGGCCGAGGTGGGCGTCGAGATTCCGAGATTCTGCTACCACGAGCGCTTGGCCGTGGCTGGCAATTGCCGCATGTGCCTGGTGGAGGTGGAGAAGAGCCCCAAGCCTGTTGCCGCCTGCGCCATGCCCGTGATGAAGGGCTGGCGCATCAAGACGAATTCCGATTTGACCCGCAAGGCGCGCGAGGGCGTCATGGAGTTTCTGCTCATGAATCATCCGCTTGACTGTCCCATTTGCGATCAGGGCGGCGAGTGTGATCTGCAGGATCAGGCCATGGCCTTTGGCTCCGATCGTTCACGCTTCACGGACATCAACTACACGGGCAAGCGGTAAGCTCTGCCACAGCTCCAAATATAATCCCTGCTCTACTCTTGCTCTGCTCGCCGTTTAGTGCTGTGGAGGACAAGGACATTGGGCCGCTGGTCAAGACAGTGATGACGCGCTGCATTCACTGCACACGCTGTGTGCGCTTCGCCTCCGAAATTGCTGGCGTCGATGATTTGGGCACCACGGGACGCGGCAATGATATGCAAATTGGCACCTACGTGGAGAAGCTCTTCCTTACCGAGCTGTCGGGCAATGTAATCGATCTGTGCCCCGTTGGCGCGCTCACCAACAAACCGTACAGCTTTGTGGCACGCCCCTGGGAGATACGCAAGGTGGACAGCATCGATGTGCTCGACGCCGTCGGCAGCAACATTGTGGTAAGCACACGCACCAACGAGGTGCTGCGCATTCTGCCACGCGAGAACGAGGACGTCAACGAGGAGTGGCTGGCGGACAAGTCGCGCTTCGCTTGCGATGGCCTGAAGCGCCAGCGCCTGGTCGCGCCCATGGTGCGCATGCCCAACGGCGAGCTGCAGGCCGTCGAATGGGAGGGCGCGCTCATCAGCGTCGCCAAAGCGCTGAAGAAGGCCAACGGCCAAATAGCTGGCGTTGCGGGCCAGCTTGCCGATGTGGAGGCCATGGTGGCGCTCAAGGATCTGGTCAATCGGCTGGACGGCAACCAACTGGTCACCGAACAGGACTTCATCAAGGGCAGCGGCATCGATGTGCGCTCCAGCTATCTGCTCAACAGCACCATTGCAGGTACGTGCTGTTCCTTTCTGCTGTCACTTGTATTTACGACGTTTTGCGTTTTGCTTTTAGGTCTGGAACAGGCCGATGCTGTGCTGCTGGTGGGCACCAATCCGCGCTACGAGGCGCCGCTGGTCAATACGCGCCTGCGCAAGGCCTACGTTCACAACGAGCTGCAGATTGCCTCGATTGGGCCCAAAATTGATCTGTCCTATCAGCACGACAATTTGGGCTCGGACGCCAGCCTAATCAAGGACGTGTGCAGCGGCTCGCATGCCTTCTCCAAGGTGCTCGAGGGCGCCAAGAAGCCGGCCATCATCATTGGTGTCGATGTCCTGGAGCGACCCGATGGCGCTGCCATTCATGCCACCATCTCCGAGTACTGTCAGAAGCTCAAGAAGCCTGTGAGTAGCGGGTCCCCATGTTCGTGTCGAACTAGTAAAACATATTACAATTTCTGTTGCAGGACTGGAATCCCTTCAATGTGCTGCACAACAGCGCCGCGCAGGTGGGCGCCTTCGATGTGGGCTACCAGCCGGGCGTGCAGCGCGCATTACAGTCGCAGCCCAAGGTGCTGTTCCTGCTGAACGCCGATGCCGGCAAGATAACGCGCGAGCAGCTGCCGAAGGACTGTTTCGTTGTGTATATTGGTTCGCATGGCGACAATGGTGCGTCCATTGCGGACGCTGTGCTGCCCGGCGCCGCGTACACCGAGAAGCAGGCGACCTATGTCAACACGGAGGGCAGGTCACAGCAGACACATCCGGGCGTCTCGCCGCCGGGCATGGCACGCGAAGATTGGAAAATATTGCGCGCTCTGTCCGAAGTGGTGGGCACACCCTTGCCCTACGACACGCTCGACGAGCTGCGCTCGCGTCTCGACAGCATTGCGCCACATCTAACGCGTTACGGCCAACTGCAGCCGGCGGGCGGCAGCGAAGCAGGCGCACCGGCCACACCCGTAAGTATCCAAGCATATTTTCAACAAAAAAAAACAACACAACTAAACCAAACATTTGTCTGCCAATCCAAACAGAGCAAATCGATCAGCGGCACGCCCATCGATGTGAAGCAAAAGGAACTGCGCGACTATTTCATGACCGATGCCATATCGCGCGCCTCGCCCACCATGGCCAAGTGCATATCGGCGGTCAACAAGCAGCAGCGCCAGGACGAGGCGGCCAAGCAGTGTGCGGCCATCTAAGCGACCCAATTCTGATCTGATACTGGCCTGTAGCACATAAATCTTAAATAATTAATGCTGTTTTTTTTTTGTCTAAATGCTTATGCAAACACTTTTTGCTGTATACTCAAATCCTGGCCAGCGGCGAGCAGCGGGAGGCGAATGCAAAACAAGAATGAAAGAAAAAGAAAATGTAATTAAAACAATTGTGCAGAGGGCGGAGCGGGTGCGCGCTTGGTAAATGTCATTGAGTCTGTTGAAAAGAAGCTAAACAATACGCAAATAGGAAAAGGAATCCAAAATAAACGTGAAATATAGTTAAATGCGCGATATATATATTGTATGCACATATACAAGTTATTATAATTCTTACGTAGATACGAGCTATAAACTAGACACTTTAATTATATAGACTTCTCGTTCTGGTGCTCAGCCCTTGCACTCTTCTAATCGGTTGCCAACTAGCGAAAAGCTACATTTCAAATATATATATAAAAATATCATATACTATAAGGTTCCGTTCGGGCGAGTTTATAATGCTTTGTTTTAGGGGGTATAACATGACGTAACATATAGGTAGGGTATATATATTCGGATTGCTTAAGTGCTCCAATTCGTAAAGGGTGTACGAAATGGAGGAAGTAGAATTTAGGAAATTGGATTATATAAACCCTATTACTCGATCATCTATCATTTCGTATATCCGACTTTCTTATGCTGTCTTGAAGTCCGAGTAGTATCATAAAGCAGATGATTCATTGGATGAGTTTTAAGTATTTCTGTGTATTCAGCATAAATTAACTAGATATTCTAGACCTCGAGCTGTATACAGCATATATCTGTATACCCTATCTATATCTATATCGAGCTGCGTCCCGATCTGGCCATGTCTCCTAGTCCCCAGCTATGAGTCCGACGAGCTCAAAGATTAGATCGATTTTATTTCCAGTTATCGATAACTCGCTCCGTTTCCACAAAATCGATCAGTATCGATGAGGCCCTTCTGCTCTCTATACCTAATTGCATATGTAGGCTCTCGTATAGTCCGAGCAGCTCCAGAAATGTGCAACTTTTGAATACCTTCCCTCGTTCCCACCCAAAAATGATATAGATTTCATAACTGGCGACATATGCCCGATCTTCTCAATCACATTAATACACGAGTTCGTTTTGTTGTATGTGAATGAAAAGCTTATATTTGTTTTTTTTTTTTTTTGTTTACCGTAAAAATACAGATTTATTTATTTATTATTATTTAATCATCATTTTCATATAACATAATTTCGTAATTTTGGATGCGTGCCGCACAGAGGCCGCTGCCAGGGCAAGCTTTGGGGGGGTTGTTTTTGGGCATCTCCATCTCTGCTTCAGTTCGACTGAAGTCAAGAGTTCCTTCCCCCCCGGAAAAAGAGGGCCCCCTCTGTGACACGGCTGAGCTATTGTGTGTGTGTGTGTGTGTAGGTGTGTGTGTGTGCTACTATCGAAACTAAATTAAAACTTGAACTTTTATCGCTTTGAAGCGGCAACAACTCTCAAATTCGTTGGCCCAACCAGATGTTAGCGTGTGTGTGTGTTGTGTGTGTGGGAATTGGAGGGGGGAGGCGCAAATACATTGTGATGAAGCGCTCCATTTAGCTGCAGCAGCTGGCGGGCGTTGGATCCAGGCCGGAACGCTTCGTGATGCTGAGACGTGTAAACTCCTCGGCGGTGGTCGGATGTATGCCGACGGTGTTCATCAGCGTGGGTATGGTCAGGCCCGACTTGAGGGCAGCGGCAAAGCCCTGTATTACCTCGCCGGCAACGGGTCCCAGATAGTGCAGGCCATAGACGCGCTGATCGCCGCTGCGCTGGGCGACAGCCTTCACATAGCAATAGCGCACGCTCTTCTGGGGTATGAAGAACTCCGTGGGCTTGTAATAGCCGTGGAATACTTCAATCTCTTCGGCGCCGTACGTCTTGACGGCATCCTCTTCGCTCAGGCCGACGCAGGCATACTCGAGCGGTGTGAACACTGTGGTGGCCACATCAGCGTAATCCATGCGCAGATCGGAGTCCGCGTAGAGGCGACGTGCCAGCAGACGGCCGGCCAGGACAGCGACGGGCGTTAGCTCCGGCTTGCCATAGATAATATCACCGACAGCATAGATATGCGGTACATTGGTTGTCTCCTCGCAGTCCACCTGTATCTTGTCCTTGTGCGTGAGCACACCGGCATTGTGCAGATTCAGATCCTCGACCAGACCCTTGCGCCCGATGGCCCAGAGCACCGTATCGAATACATCGCTATCGATCTCGCCGGTCTCCGTGTTCTCGTACTTGACCAGCAGCCGGCCGTCCGATTGCTTCTCGACGGACAGCGGCACAGTTTTGCGCAAGAACGGAATGCCACGCTCCTCCATGGAGGCGGCCACCAAATTAGCCATTTGCTGATCAAAGCCGCGCAGCACAATCGAACGCACCATCACAGTCGGCTCATAGCCGAGTCCCTTCAGGAAGCCGGCGCACTCCAAGCCAATGTCTGCGAGAAGGAACACAAAAGTTAGCGATCAAGCACAACAAAAGGAATTAAGAGCGGAAGGCACTTACAGCCAGCGCCGACGACAAGGGTCTTGCCGGGCTCACGATCCAGACTGAAGAGATCGTCGCTGGTGATGCCATACTCGACGGCGCCGGGTATATTCGGATAACGCGGACGACCGCCGACGGCAATCACAAAGGTCTGAGCGGTAATCGTACGGTCGCCGCTCTTCAGCTTGGCGGACAGCGTGTGCGGATCCACAAACGAGCCCAGGCCGTTGATGTACTCGACTTTCCTGCAAAGGGGAAGAGCATGAATATAGATTCAAGAAAGCTGCGATTGATGTGGATCGCTTACTTGTCGCGCAGATCGACGCGTGTCACCCAGTTGACGGACTTGATGTGATTCTGCACGGAGGAGACGAGCTTGTTCCAATCGGGCTTGATTTTATCATCGACATTCCAGCCGTAGGCGGCTGCCTCGTGTACGGCTTCGCCCAGCAGGGAGGCCTGATGCATCAGCTTCTTTGGTATGCAGCCGACATTGACGCAGGTGCCGCCGACGCCCCATTTGGTGCCAATTGGTGTTGGCTTCACGAAATCCAAGCAGGCAACGCGTGCACCATGCGCCACGGCCTCCTTGGCGCAGGACAAACCACCAGAGCCGCCGCCAATGACAACCAGATCATAATCGTAGTTACCTGCAAATAAAGGAGGAGCATTCAAAAGCTGGACACGGATGGATTCAGTGAGAAGAGCGTGTGTGGCAATTGATACCCCGTGGCATCTTGCGTTTGTCGCTTTTCCGGAGTCGTATGTCCAGATATGCGGAACGATATATGCTGCGCCCCTCGGCGGGCAGCTCATCCGCCAGCGAGGCGGGCACAAATTCAAATAGATGCATTTGCCCGGCAATTGCTGCTTGAACACTGAAGCCTCTGTTTCTTGTTGTTGTCGCGCTTATTTATTATGCACATATGTGTTAACGATGTGCAAATCAAAGTGGAGCAATCATCGCAAGCCCCGCCTTGATGTGCGGTTTGCTTTGGATCCAATACGTTTGCCATGGCTACGAATAAACGATTCAATCGTTTCGTATTGGGGATGTATGTTTAGGTGGACAAGGTTGCCCGACAGGCAGAGGGCGCCAAGGAGTTGCCAGCCAGTTGATATGCAGCGCAGGATCTCTTTATCGATTAACAGCTTATCGATATATTAATCCGATGAATTATGTAAACTAACAGGGAAATTCGCTGCAGATTTCGCACCCTTTTTAAACATGCGATACATATTAATTATATCAGGCCGAAGACCTTCCTAATTTCATTCGTGACTATAAAAACTAATGATGCCAATAAATATATGTTGCCCGATAACATAAGCTAATCAATAGCTCGATTTTCATCCAATTGTGACAATGTCAACTATATAGCATTATCTTCATGATAAACCTCATGATTGAAATGCTTAAAATGAAATTTCAACTATATTTTGATGCTGTTCCGAATTATTTGAATCAATGTTGCAATATCCACATGTTAAAACCCGGAATGACGTTGTAGAATTTAGAAATATCTAAAAATATAAATCATCCATTGTCCAAAAGTCCAATTGGAGCGGAACCGTTCTGATAAGCATAAGCTGCTCGAATAACGAATTGAGGAAATAATAAAATCCATAGATTATCGAAGCGTTTTAATGAAATCGCAAGAATGCCGATCGCTGTGAAATATGAATATAGACGCCTATTGAACAGCATTTATCGAGTTTTAGCTCAGGCTTATTAACATTAGAACAATATATAATAGGCGACGGCCACAGGCCAAAGCTAATTAATTGTGGTACGTGGAATAGAGGGAGAGTGAGAGAGAGAGGGGGAGGGCTGGGGGGGGGTTATTACGTGCTGCTGATAAAGTAACGTAGTTATCGTTGCCAGTCAGTCACAATCTAACCCCACCCCACCCCTGAATTGAATGCGTCACAAACTGGTCAACTTGTACGATGCGAACCTTAATGTAAGGGCATAGAACAAGTTACGATTGCAGCAGTTCGATACATTCACAATGACGATGTGTTAATGAGCATGATGATAATGATAATCGTGATGACGTAATCGGTATGTGCATTGAGGATGTGCTTGCAAAATATCTCAAGATATTCTCGAACATTTCGCGCTATCAGCGGCAAATGTCAAGTTTGTTGCATCTTGCGAAATACCGAAGTGCGATAAACTGGCGTTAAAAGTACTCGAGTTAGAAAGTTGTTACCAAATACCCTCAAGCCGCCCTTTGCTGCCAAAAAAAAAAAAAAAAAAAACCCTTCACTTGCATGATCATGACTCTGCACAAAATAAAAGTTTTTGCCCGGCAAATAATCGATTCACGTTCGATAATGTACGTGCGTAGCGACGCGGGGCGCTTAACAGTTATTGTATAATAAATTCATAAATACAATGGATATGTGCGTGTGTGTGTAAGAGAGAGCGAGTGAGAGAGAGAGAGAGAGCAGCAGCTGAGTGTAGTTATAAGCATAAAAGCGGCCATTTCATTGGATGGCGTTGCCAACTGGTTGGAAAGACGTTGATCATCAGCAGAGTTGCAAATCTTTTGGGGCTACGGTCTTGTGGCATTGGCTTACCTCGTAGTGGCTTAACCTTTCGCACGGGCTGCTGATACATGGCCTGCCTATCGCAATGAGGGTGATTAAAGGGCGGCACATTTAAGCCAGAATCGCTGGTCGAGCTTTCGAGTGAATTGCGACCCTGTGGCAATGTTTTACCAGGATTGCGGTTACCTGATTGCGAAGTTCGTCTGGCCCCCTTGTCTGGCAAGGCGGTGTTGATTGGCTTCATTATTGTTGTTGAATATCTTCGTTGTTGTTGGTTTTGTATTTGGTGTTGTTGTGGTTGGGAATTGTTATTGAACGTGTAGTGTAAACTATTTGCAGCGATTGTTTTTGTCGAACTCGACATAAACATCGTCGCCTGCTGGCGCACCAGCGTTACTGAAAATCTCGAATTCCACAATGTAAGCGACATGTTGTATACGTATAGATAATCGCCGTATATATATATGCATGCACGCTTCGCCTCGGCGCTTTAGTTATTCACTTGGTAGATGTAGCTCAAATTTAAAGCTATGGCGAAATTCTCAAGTTGTTTATTGCGCTGCGCGTTCTTAACAAGGTTTTAGTTTTAGTTAGCGAAATCACGGACACAGGAGAAGACAAACAGAATGAAAAAGAGCGACGTCGTCGTCGTCAGGCGGCTGTTCGGCGCTTGGAACGATTGGAAAGTGTGGGCAGCGACGCTCACCACGTAACAGCGGCAGAGCTGTTGTATGCGAATGCGCGTTCAAAAGAGAATTCAATGTAGATGGCGGCCTGTCATAGGGTCGCCGAGCTGCCTAATTAGCCGTTGCAAACATAATGTAAAAACATTAATTTACATAACTTGCATAAATACAACGACTGGAAGGAGCAACAGTTGGTTGCCCTTATCAGAGTTGCCATAGAGCTAACTCTAATCAGCCATTTATGCTTCTTTTGCGTGCAGCTGGCAACTCTACCAGCTGCCTTAGCCACCGGCCGCTATGTGAAAGCGCTTGTCTATTTGGTTATAAAAAAAATAAAGAGTGCGCCAAGTGTTGACGTTCGGCGTGGTGATAAACGCAATTAGAAGCAGTGTAGTCAAGGCAGCGCCTCGTGGAGCAGCCAGTTTACGCCGTTAGTGTCAGGTATAAAGCTACAACATTTTATTGTGCCCGTTGCCTCAGCTTAAGTGCAAATAACCGATTAGATTTCCTTAACGGAAAGCAAAAACAATTTCACAAAATGAACTCGATTTTAATAACGGGCTGTAATCGCGGACTGGGCCTGGGCCTGGTGAAGGCTTTAAACGCACTGCCGGAGCCGCCGCAGCATCTATTCACCACATGCCGCAACCTGGAGCAGGCCACAGTAAGTACTTTTGTCCAGTCATGTCGCCCCAACGGGTGACTCATGCACAGGGTCAGTTGTTAAAGAGTCTCAACGACATCTACACATCGAAACTACGCGAATAATTATAAGTGGCAATAGCAGCAACAACAACAGCAGCAACAGCAACCCGTAACGCGAGCGAGACAGCAAGAAATATTCTTGTCTTGTGTGTGGCATCACTTCTGTTACTCACCTTTACCGTCTACGGGCGCCATGTTTTGCAGTCTTGGCAAGTGTTTTAGGCTAAAAAACAGGATCAGAACTTGCTTCCAAATATTCAATAAATTTATTCAGTTAGACTGAAGATGAACACACTTTGCACGGTCACTTTGAATGGCAATTAATACAAAAAAAAAATAACAAACTCGATTTTGTCAAATGACAGTTAACTAACTAGCCCTGCGCGACACTCTCGCCAGCGAACGCAAATGCGAAATAAGCGGTAAACTTTTTGCAATTGCTTTTACGCTTTCGGTTCGATGCTTTGGCTGTCGGCTTTTGCTGCTGCTGCTCGTTTTCCAGTTATGGAAAGCACAATCTATCGATATATCGATGCTTTTTTGCGCACGCAACGACGTCAATGCCGCTTCGCGTAAACTTGGCGCTACTTTTGTACGGCTTTTGCAGCACTTTTTCCAGTGCTCACGATGTATCGCAACAAACAACAAATATATCGATACTTTATTATACTTTATGAAGTTAGCTGTGAGCATGAGCTTGGCGCCACATTTGAAAAGCAGTCGAAGCATAAATTGTAATTGTTTTGCCTTGCAGGAGCTCAAAAAGTTGGCGAAGGAGCATTCTAATATACATATACTTGAGATTGGTATGAAAAAGCACGTTTGCTTTCTTAAATTAGTTGAGATCTAACATCAATACTGCTTTTCAACAGATTTGAGAAACTTTGAAGAATACGACAGGCTCGTTGGCAAAATCACCGAGGTGACCAAAGACGCCGGTCTCAATGTGCTCTTCAACAATGCTGGCATCGCGCCCAAGTCTGTGCGCTTCGGTGCCACCAGGCAGCAGGATCTGATCGATACGCTGCAAACAAATACCGTGGTGCCTGTTATGCTGGCCAAGGCCTGTCTGCCGCTGCTAAAGCAGGCTTCGGAGGTCAACGAGAACGTGTCCCTTAGCGTGAAGCGGGCTGCCATTATCAATATGAGCTCCATTCTGGGCTCCATACAGGCGAACACGGATGGCGGCCTCTTGCCATATCGCACTTCCAAGGCGGCGCTCAATGCGGCCACCAAGTCGATGAGCATCGATTTGGCACCACAAAAGATACTCTGCGTCAGCCTGCATCCCGGCTGGGTGCGCACTGACATGGGCGGCAACAATGCGCCCCTGGACGTGGCCACCAGCACCGAGCAGATTGTGAAGACAATTTGCCAGCTGAACGAGTCGCACAATGGCGGCTTCTATCAGTACAACGGCGAGCAGCTGGCCTGGTAGAGGCGAACACAACATCATGAGCTACATATATCATGTATATATATGTATATATATATATTTTGTTGCTATCTATGTAAATTATTGTTGGTGCTTACACGAATTTGTGAAAATCATAAGCTTGCGTTATTATCTAGCGCTGACGTGGCAGCCATGGGCTGCTGTTCCAGATCACATCAGAGCGGCGGCGGCGGCGGCTGCGTTGCTTGTGGATTGCTCCCGCTGCCATTCATGGGATATGCCACGCGTTTGCGCAGATCAAGCCGGGGACGACGGTTGCCAGCGCTGGCCGTGCCAGCGTCGGCGCTAACTGGCGGCGGATCGTTCCAACCGGGCGTAAGTGAGCCTAACAGTTCGATGGGAATACGCTTATGATGGCTTTAATGCAATAACTGTCTGGCTGGGACTTACCTGGAAAAGCGCCGCTTGGTGCAATGCTTTGGCCCATTGGCGGCGGCGGCTGTTGTTGGGGCTGTGTTGCAGTTGTTGGTGGCGGTGGCGGTGGCGGCGTCATGTCTGTCACTGGCGCTAAGTTAGCTGACTGTGTTTACCTATTTGCAGCTTCCTTTCAGCTGTTCTGGACAGCCAAAATGTCAAGTGTTGAAATTTTATTATTGTTTTCGATAAATATCAACGAATTGTGCGCGCAACCAACTTCATGTGAGTGCAATAATTGCGTGCAGCTAGCTTCATGTAAGTGCAAAATTGCGTGCAGACTTTGTTCGAGTGCGCAATTTGCGCGCAGCCAACTTCAAGGCGCACTCAAATTTGAATTTTGCACGTTAATTTGATTAAGAACCGTTACAATTTAGAAACCCAAAAGAATAGTGTTTTTCTTTTTTTCTGCTGTCCACAAATTATACAACAGCAAAAAGTGAAAACCTATTATATTTTCTGGATGGCAACAACATTTGCAGGGCTTCGATGTACAGAGGATTTTAGTATGGGTTGAAAATGTATTTAAGAGAGAGAGAGAAAAAAAAAGCTGCAATGCAAGACATTTATTAGAATATACAATTAGTATTAGGAAAAATTGTTAGATATTTGCTGTTTCTTTGGTCTCTTACAATAGCCGCTGTCACACGCACAAGAGTCTTGAGTCTAATCTTGTGCAGTGGCCAGCAGCTGCAATAAGTACCGCTCGTATCATTATATCTATATCAAACAGGATGTATATATCTATCACTATCGTATTGGACACACGCACTGTAACACTTGAGAAAATCGTCTGATTTGCTTTTCGGCAGAGGCCTGTCCTCGACAAGTTAATGCTTGAATTAATGATGATGGGCCGCCGGGTCCAACATATGTTTCGGTTCCCAAATCCCAGTTTTGAATATTTAAGTCAGTTCAGTTCCGCTGCCGTGGCTGTTAATTTGTACTCAACTGTTAATTGTTGTTGTTGGTATTTGGTATTTGGTTTTAACGTTTGACAATTTGTCAGTTGAATTGAATTAAATAGTCGCAGCGGCTATTGATTTTCAATTGAAATCCTTCGAATGCTTCCTTTCGCTGCTGTCAGCCTAATTAAAATTGAAAGCTAGCCAATTAGACGATTCCAAAAATATATATTTCTGCACAAATTGCCATATTCCGCATTTCTGGCCATGTCAAACTTTCGATTAGCACAGCAAAAAAAAATTTATTCAAAAAAAATTAATACTGTTTATCCTTATTTGTTTTATTCACTGGCAAAAAAAAAAAAATTGATATTTTTGATGATATTTTGCAAAAAAAAAAAAAAAAAAAAATTGTTGCTCTTTGGCTGGCTGCAGCTGCTCGTCGCTGTTGTCGCTTAATTAACAATGTTTAACTGAGACAATGTTCAGGCCGTCGTGCCGCTTTTATAGCTGCAGGTGTCGCCGACGCCGTCGCCGTCGACGCTGACGTTGGCTGCGCCGTCAGCTTTGCTGCTGGCGTCGCATCCCCCACAAAGTTGCCGTTGTCAAGTTTTCTACCTACCTGCTGGCCAGTGCATGGAGACGCCCACACACACACATGCACACATGCACACATGCACACATGCACACATGCACACATGCACACATGCACACAGTGGGCAAACGTCAGCGAAGTCTTACATGTGTGTGCGTGCTTGTGTGCGTGTGTCCCTGCGTGCGTGTGCTTGTAACTAACTTTGTAATATTATTAGACGGCTTTAGTGTGCGGCAGTTGCTGTGCCTTGACCAGTCGTTGCGAGGGGGCGCGGGCGGGGTCGGCTGCGCTGTTTGCGAAAAGTCGCTGCCTACTTTTAGGCGCAGCTCGATTGCACATTTGCTGCAAATCAAAAATGCAGCAACAACAACAACACAAGGAACATGCTGCAGCGAATGAAGCAACAAAGAAAGACTGAAATCATTGGGGCAGGTTATTGAGTAGCAGCCCCCTACCAGCGCCCCCTGCCGCAAAGTTGATTAAGAAACATGATGCCGCCATGAGCTATGCAATTGCAACTCCATGTGCAAAGCACTTTGCCACACTTTCCAACACTTGCCCCATTGCAGGGGTGGTTTGCGCTTAGCCACCTTCAGATTGGGGACGTCCAGCGGGTGAATCTGTAGAAAACACGTAACACAAACGAAATAAAAAAGAAGGAACAACAGCAAAAGAAACCGAACCAGAAACAAAGGCCAAACAGCATAAAAAGTACGTTAAAATTAAATAACATTGTTCTATGCATGCGACACCTTTAACTGACCCCGCCCCGTACCGACCACCGCTCACTACAGGCACACACATACAGTAGAGCTGTGCTACCCCTACCCGCCGCAACTGTACCGATCACTTGTATGGCATCGCCGTTTGGAATGCTTCGCTGCGCTGCGCCCGTATAACGGGGCCTCTCTGCCCGTGTGGGGAATCTCAACAAGGCAACGCAGCGGGCAGCAGCTTAAAGAAACAACAACAACAGCAATAGCGGGCGGTTGCAGAGCGACGCTGTGGGGGGGGTAGAGAGAGAAAGAGAGAGAGAGAGAGAGAGAGTCGGTGCTTAGCGAAAATGGCGAGTATCGAGTGACAGATTGTCTGCGGCAAAGAGGCCAACGGCGAGCGGGATGTGTGCGGGGGGCGCATTGTTCCTATTGCTGTTGCTGTTGTTGCTCTCCTCTTCTCCTTCTTCTTCTCTAGCAGCTGCTTCTTCTGCTCTTGTTGTTGTTGTTCTTGCGAAACCATAATTTTCAAAGCAGGCGTCACTCACACACACGCTCAATGGTCACACAGTTTTTGACACATTCGTTCGCGCTGTCTCTTTTCCACTCGGCTGCGTTTGATTATGTGCGTGTGTGTGAGTGCACCGCGCTCTTGTTGTCAGGATAAATATATATTATGAAAATCCTTGATATGCCAGAAATCTATTCAACTGACGTTCGTAATCAACTGGCGGATAATTCATTTGGACTTTTTTACGCAACGCTTAGCACAGGTGCAGGCTCCGTTAAAGTATACCACGCTTATTTGCTGTGCGAACAAATATTAATGGAAAATTATATAAGTTATGAAAGCGATTCTTCCAGTTGGCATATCGCGTAACGCTTTTTAATTTGCTTTCTTATCTGCCAACGGGACATTGTGGGGGGGGGGGGGTAGGGTTTGCTAAGAAAGTCATCTGGGGGAAAACTTATCACTCGGCGTATACGTAATATTCGATGTGCTTCAGCTTTGCCGTCCATTTATTCGCCTTTAAATGAGCACATCTCAGAAATTTAATTTGGAAACTTTTACTTTATTATTAGGTTTATCGATAGTTTGCTTAAATCGATAAATATCGGTTATAAGCTTAGACTTTTTGCAGCTGCAGATGCATAAGCTCGTCAAACTTCAAGCCTCAAGCTGCCTTCGCTTGTTCTATCTCGTATATTAGGCCCCGGAATTTCCATAGGTATTGGCCTATTAACACCCAAAGTATGGATCAGGGGAGAAGAGGAAGCACAAGTGCCGCGTGTGCCTATTTGTTTTCATTTCTGTTACGACAGCTTGGCCTTTTAATATAATATTTTGTATTTGAATTGCACGAGTTTAACGTATTCGTTACTTTGATCCAATAAGCTGGTTCAAACTCACAACAAGTACGAATGTGGCTGTCGTATAAGAGGACAATGACACGGAAACTAGAATTTGAATAAGCTTAAGGTTTTTGAAATGCTTTAATTATATTTTGTTTCTTAAAATCCATTGAAAATGGGAGAAAGTAAAGTGGAATGAAATTTCGACATCTAGACATTGACTTAATTTGTTTAAAAATCTGATTTGTCAGTTAATGCTGCAAAACTATTCGTAATATCATTACTTAATTCTACTTAGTTTTGTTCAAACATTTGAAGGAAGATCTAAGGTATTTATTTATAATATTCATTTTTAGATGCGTTCCTTCGTACGCCACATTTCCGTAGGCACAGCTCTATTTTGACTTCAGGAAAACTATAATTTGCAGAGTTATCCTGTTGGAGTCCTTCTCGAAAGGCGACCTGCTCTTAAAAGCCTCTAAAGAACGAGCCACGCCCGAAAGGCACAATTTGTTTCTTGAACAAACTTAACAATTCCTTTTGTTTTTCGTTCTCATATTATTTTGTCAATCATTTTACATAGAACCATTTAAAAAAAAAACGCTTGTGAATAATAACAAGCTTCATTATTCCCCCAACTCAGCTCCAAAACCTTATCGAATCGAACAATTATATGGCCATCATATGGCTTCTATGGAAACAATTAATGGAAATCAATGCTCTTGTATAAAAGCACAGCTAGCAAGGCGTTTTTTTATTGTTCGTATACCCTGTAACATACAAAATAGGGTATACTAGTTGTATGCAAGCCACTAGCACGCAACTCCGACGCCTTTGGGCCTATATTTTCTTGAGCAGAACAAACAGCCGAGTCTATCCAACAAAGTCTTTGCATATAACCATATTTATATCTTTTCAGAGTTGGCTAACGCCATGCTACGCTGGTTATTTCGTTAAAACCTGGCAGTGTTGTGAAATGCGCAGGACTTGAGTCTCTGTACAACACTGTTAGAGTGCGGTTTGCTGTGACTGTACGTGAATAGAGCTGATTTGTGAGAAAATCCTGGGAGACAACAGTCACATTAAAGAACGCCAAACTCTCTTTATTCAAAACCCGATACATTTACATATGTACATTTGCAATATGTATTCAAATTTCTTATTTTCTTTCCGATATGCCACGCCATTTGCATGATATCGATAAATATCGATTTTGAGACGTGACTTTGTAAGCAATCCGCGGAAATAACTAGCACTAGAAACGCCCTAGCTAGGCATTCAGGTATGTGCATATAAATTATATATCATATTTGTATACCCCTTCATCCACTCGTATTCCGATAATTTGAAAAAATCCCATTCATAATGCTAGAGCCATGTGCTTTGCTTTACAAACACATTTAGTTCCTATATTGAAAGGCTGCAATTTTCGGAAAGTCAGACTAGAAACACTGGAGTTACTTCAGGAGTTACTCGGGAACTCGGGCAAAATACTTGAATGTATGTCCGACTAAAGCACACACTTATTTTACGACGATTCGAACTTGTGTACAGGGTATCAGCTAGTCGCAACTTGTGCAGTTCTTTTACAGAAACTCTTTCGAAACTCTTTCGCTTGCTCGCTCTCG